AGTTCAAACAGGTGCCATTAATACAGGTAATGAGTGGAGGACAGAGGAGCATCTTAAAGAAGTTTACAGGTCTGTGAGAGCCAGAAATCTTGCTTATTTGTTGGTGACCAAATACTTATTTGGTCCACCATAATTTGCAAAAAGATTCTTTCCACATCAGACAATGTGATTGTCTGGATTTGTTTTCTCATTTTGTCTCTCATAATTGAGGTCTAACTATGATGTCAATTACAGGCCTCTCTCATCTTTTTAAGTGGGGGAACTTGCACAATTGGTGGCTGACTAAATACTTTTTTGCCCCACTGTATATTGCAATTTGCATAAATCTATAAAAAAAAGGTTGCACTTCTTTCACTTATAGGCTTATCTTTTACTTTCAGAACCGTAACAAACCAATTTATCCCTCAGTGGAACTGAGTGCTAGTCTCCAATGTTAAATGAATTATTGGGAAGTTCTCCTGCACATGATATCAAATTACTCCCAGTTGTTAAAATTGCATTGTAAAATACTGCGGGTGAATCCAATATTCCAAAAGAAATACTCCAAAAATTCAATGCATTTTTAACATTTTCTCTGAACACAGTTATTTATTGAACAACAACATAGCTCAATTTAATTTTGAAACTAAAAGAAGCACGACAAAAGTGCAAATGAAGATGTTTATTCCAAAAGCCTGTTAAATGGATATAACTAACTGTTTAATTCTTTAAATCCTAAATTGTAAGTATTTTCATCCCATTAAGTACAGACTGGAAACATTAGTACCTTTCTGAAAGTTGAATAATTTTTGTGAAATCTCCAGAATGTTCAGCAACTACTACCAGGGCCAAAACTTTAGACTGAAACAGAAAATAAATTAGATAGAATTAAAAGCAGTAAATCACAAAACTATTCCAAAGTAAATCTATCCCAAAATATTATTCCCACATTTAAATGACTTGTTCCAAAAGTAATCTGTGTACAGAAAGTTTACAAAAGGAAAGTTCTGCATCTCATATTATTTCTATGGCAATTCTGACTGTCTCACAAAACCTGTATATAGAACTGCAGGTTCATTCTGCTGAAAAGAAAAGAGTTGAGGAAAGGAGATGGAGAAACATTTCCTTTCTGAGACTTCCTTAAACCATAAGTTAGGGTCCAGTTCCAATTTTGGTCATTTGCCTCATGCTTCAACAGTTTTCACCCATGCACTCCTTTTGTCAATGTTCAAAAAAGGCCTTCCAACACTTGGGAGTTCTCAGGATAGAATCATAGAAGTATAGGGCTGGAAGAAACCTTGGACGTCTTCTAGTCCACCCCACTTCCCAAGGCAGAAAACCTTCTTGCATCCATTCTTTCTAGGGTTTGATAAAGGGAAAATAACAAGTGAAAAATACTACAAACCTTTTTGGCTTCTTCCAATACACTTTCAATGTCCTGGAAAAGGTTAAAATGTTATTATACTGGCAGATCACTGTGTTTAAGCATAGCATATTTGCCACGGTCATGGTTCAGCATGCTTTTCTTTCTACCTATAAAGAGTAATGCTGTCTAATCCACCCCCCCCCTGATTTTTATTATGAAGAGATAAAAGATACAAATCTTAATACAGAAAATACATTAAAAAGAATAAATATTGTAAAAACACTCCCCAAAAGGAGAAAAAAGGAAATATAATACAGGTAGTCCTCAACTTACAACAGTTTATTTAGTGACCATTGAAAGTTACAATGACATTGAAAAAAGTCACACTTACGACCTTTGCAGCATCCCCATGGTCACATGATAAACATTCAGATGCTTGGCAAGTGGCTCATATTTATGACGGTTGCAGTGTCCTGGGGTCATGTGATCAGCTTTTGTGACTTTCTGACAAGTAAAATCAATGGGGAATCCAGATTCACTTAACAACCATGTTACTTAACAAATGCAATGATTCCATTAACAACTGTGCAAAGAAAAGTCGTAAAATGAGGCAAACTCACTTAACAAATGTTTCACCTAGCAACATAATTTTTGGGCTCAATTGTGGTCATGTCGAGGACTACCTGTAGAGTCTTTTCTTTGGTATTGAAAAGTAGATTGACCTCTTCCAATATGTTGACTACTGTGTCTTTATCCAGATATGCTGGCATAGTTTGGCTAGAACTTTTATAGATTCTTCTTCTGTTGCTTTCAGTATCCATTTAGAAGTGCTTCAGATTTCTGCAGCCTTATCAGCCCTAAGTAGAGTCAGGAAGATATGCCTCCATAGTATAACCAGAGGAACCACAAATGTTTGCAATCTTTGGGGAAATCCTTGGTGTATTCTCCCCTGATAGGACCAACATATATATTTTCAGATTCACCTAATAATCATTTTCGTTTTAAATTGCAAGCTGCCCAGTCATTGACTGAATAAATAAATAAATGTCACACGGCAAGTTCGAGCAGAGGTTGCAATGTCAAAGTAGTAACCTAAATCATTCCTAATCTTTACATAACAGTATTTCCAGATGAAGAAAGCTCGCAATTCCTTTGCAAAGATTTAAGATGGCTAAATAAGAGTAAGGATTCTGGTGTTTCTTTCCCCCCTTTCATCCAAACCCACTTACCCTTTGAAATTCGGGTGCCGCGAGATGGCAGTGACAATCCACCGCTCCCATCCTGGCACTCAGAACTGCAGCTGTCCCAGTTGCTGTTTCTACCCGGACCTATTTCTGGATTCCACCGTCGTGGGGAGGGGGGGGGGAGATTGGCAAAGCGTCAAATGAGGATGGCTTACATCTACTTCCGGGTTGGGCGGGAAAGTCAGAACGGCTTTGAAAGAGAGCGGGAAACGGCCGCCGAGATGGAGGCGCTGCCGCCGGCTGCGGCGGCGGCTGATCGTCCCCCGCCGCGTCAGGAGCTCCGAGTGCAGTGCCTTTCCCGCCGGTGGACTGCCGAGTTGCTGGATCACTGCAGGCCTTTCGTGCGCAGACTCGGAGCCGGCCAGGCTGTAGAGACGGAGAACTTGGAACAGGCTGTAGGGGAATCGCTTTGGGTAAGACTAAGAGGGCTCGACCGGGGTGAGAGTTGGGCTGCTAAGGAGGGATGGCGGCAGCTTTATTTGGATTGCTTTTCATTCAGATTACTTCTACCAGAGGAAGATTTTAAATGTATACTGAATTGATTGCGGGGTTTTGTTTGGTTGAATAGAGATTAATTCTTTGTCCTAAATCAGAGGTCTTCAAACTTGGCAACTTTAAGACTTGTGGACTTCAACTCCCAGAATTTTCCAACCAGCATAGCTGGTCCTCAAGTCTTAAAGTTGCCAAGTTTCCTAAATCATGAGGCAACTGAACCTCTACAATCCCATTGGATTTGAAATGGACACCTAATGGACATCATTAAAAAGACACACCCAAAGATGTTTTTTTCAAGGGACAACTGGACTTTCTGGTTTTTCTTTGAAGATGTTTCGCTTCTCATCCAAGAAGCTTCTTTTTCTGAAGAAGAAGATCTGAAGAAGTTTCTTGGATGAGAAGTGAAATGTCTTCAAAGAAAAAAACAGAAGTCCAGTTGCCTCTTGAAAAAAACACCTTTGGGACAACCATGGGCTGGATGTCTGAGAATCTCTGTAGACTCTTTGCCCTAAAAAAAATTTTTAGTAAGTGGATGAGTAACCTATGGCCCCAAATAATTCTTCTACCATTCTTAAAGATCTATTGCTGAAAAAAAGGGCAATTCCGATTCATGTATTTTTGAAGTCAGAAGCACACACAAAGCTGTCATATAAGTTCTAAAATAAGCATAATTATCAGAAACCGTACAGAACCTTATATTTCCTCTCCACCAATATGTACTGTATGATACGATCCTAACCACTTTTCATCCTTAAACCCTAGAAATTATAAATGCAACATAAATGTTGCTGATTTTTAAATACAGTATGACAGTAAGTCATTTTATTTATTTGTGATTTGTTTTCTATGAAGATAGGAAAGGCTTTTACAACTATCAGTTGTAAAAGCATTGAAAAGCAATATGGGAGCAATAGAAACAAATATTTTCACAAGAAGAAACACATTGTTTCAAGAGGGATGTTGCTAAGCATTCCTAAAGAGATTTCACAATTAATGCCAACAATGTTGTAGAAGTTGACACTTCTGACACTAATCTTAATTTTTTTAAAAAAACCTGTATCAGAAGTAGCCAATAGAAACTAAGCTAGACTGGTAATTAATTACTAATCTTTAAAAGTTATCCCCGAAAATGGGACAGGATCTTATTTTCTTTTGACCCCTGAAATAAGCACTTGGGCTTATTTTTGAGGAGGTCTTATTATTTTTGAGGTGCAGGAGGCGGCGAGCGTGATCACCTCATGGCTGCTGCTATGTTGCAATATTTTCATGGAGGGCTTATTTTCAGGGGAGGGTTTATTTTAGCGCATGCGCTCAAAATCCCGATTGGAGGCCTTATTTTCAGAGAAACAGGGTAATAGTATTTAAATTGAAGCTTTGGCATTAAAACAGCCAATAATAGAATAAATAAAACTGTGCAGATCATTCTGTTATGGAAAGTTGCTCTTGTGTACTGTATTTACATGTATTTGCCATGCAAGGTTTTTTCTTAAAATTCTGAAATGTGTTTGTTATGTTATGCTTGGAAATCCTGAGATCTTTCCTTAGTAAATTTATTTAGATTTGGGGATTATGATAGTAGATAAAGTAAACTAGTATACATAGTATGTCAAGACTGGCTTGATTATGGACATCTAATGAGTTTATAAAAATTTGAAAAAGACTGATTTTCAAACTGATAATACCTCTGTCTCTAGCTTTGCATGCAAAAAAATCCCAAAAATAAAACTCTGTTTTGAGTTCCAGAAAGTAATTTCTGACAATTGAGTGCTAGAGTTTGTCTACCAGTTAGGATATACTTTCTCTAGAGCAGTGTTTTTCAACCACTGTGCCGCGGCACACTAGTGTGCCGTGACATAGTGTAAGGTGTGCCGTGGGAAAATTACTTTATATATAGTCAATATAGGCACAGAGTTAAATTTTTTTAACATTTTCTAATGGTGGTGTGCCTTGTGATTTTTTTCATGAAAAAAGTGTGCCTTTGCACAAAAAAGGTTGAAAAACACTGCTCTAGAGTACATGTCCGAGTTTCCCTTCTCTCATTTGGGGGGGATTTTTTTTTCTTTTAACTGGTAAAATTAATTGTGAAAACAGACAAGAGAAGTAAAAGGTTATTTGCAATTATTCCCTTCATAGAGATTAATAGTATTTTTCTGTATATGAAGTCCAATCTGAACTGGGCAATTTGTTTCAGAAAGGGCAGTGGACTTATTACATCCATTAATTTTCCTTGAGTTTTCTGTTTAGCAACACAGAAGGTAATTTTTCCCAGTATGTGTGACTATATATTAATAGAGTTGAATTTTGCATTTGTTTCTTCTTATGAAAATACTAGTATCTGTAATGAGCATTTATTCCCCATAATTCTGTGCATTGTCATGCAAAATGTTTGAAGCCTTGTTGCTGAATGTTGGAATGTGCTGAATGTTGGAAATTATCTTGTAATTTATCAACATGACAACATCATTATGCTTGATGCCAAGGTGGCGCAGTGGTTAAATGCAGCACTGCAGGCTACTGCTAGATCAGCAGGTCAGCGGTTCAAATCTCACCGGCTCAGGGTTGACTCAGCCTTCCATCCTTCCGAGGTGGGTAAAATGAGGACCCAGATTGTTGGGGGCAATATGCTGACTCTCTGTAAACCGCTTAGAGAGGCCTGAAAGGCCTATGAAGCGGTATATAAGTCTACTGCTATTGCTATTATTGTAAATATTGTGTTTTGCTGAATGGATGTGCTTTGTCATAATGCTGTTTATTAATGTCATTCCTTGCTGGTCCATTTTGTAATACAGTATTGGCATTTAAAGGTATCTTTTTAAGAATTCTTACATTATATATTCATATCTTTATATATTTTTGTTCATTTTGTATAGAACTTTGAAACAGCTGTACACGAAAATATCACTGTTAATGGGCAGCCATGGCAGGAATCATCAGATCTTCAAAATGGTATATTAATTTAAAAGTATCTTTAGAGTTAATATGCAAGATCTTGACTAATACTGTTGGAAAATCTTATGCATCAGAAATTACAGGTAGTCCTCGACTTACAACAGTGCATTTAGTGACTGTTCAAAGTTTCAACAGCACTGAAAAAAGTGACTTATTGACCAGCAAAGTCCACTGACTTTGAATCCAGATTCACTTAACAACTGTGTTACTAATTTATCAACTGTGGTGATTCATTTAACAATTGTGCAAGAAAGGTCGTAAAATGGGGCAAAACTCACTTAACAAATGTTTCACTTAACAGAAATTTTGGGTTCAGTTGTCCTGAATCGAGGACTCCTGTATTTTACTGTGAACAGAATTACTCAGTCCCTTTTGCAGTACAATTCCTTGCAATATTAGACTAGTTTAAAAATATTAGTTATACAGTATAGGCAAAACTTCCATTTGTGATGAGGAGACTAACATCATATACTTTATATGCAAAAATATGTTGTGTTCTTTTCCTGTCATCTCAGATTAAAGAGTCTGCTACTGCCATCTGTTGGCCTGTTATAATTTGTAAATGACAGTTTATAATTATATAAGACTCTAGTACAGTGATGGTGAACCTTTCTTGGCTCGCGTGCCATAAGCGGGGGAAGCGCAGGGGAGTCGTGTATGGGCATGCCACACCCATAATGCAATGCACAACACCCCCCCAGCACACAAGTGCACATGACAGGTGCTCCCCCGCATTTTTTGCACGCTTTTTTTCGCCCTCCAGAGGCTTTATAGGAGCCTGGGGAGGGCGAAAACAGCCCGTCCGGAGGCTTCAGGAGCTTCCCTGAAGCCCCCTGAGTACAAAAAAATGGCGCTACGGGCAAATCAGAAGTTCGGGAACAGACTTTGGGTTTGCTCATAGGGCTGGTTTAAGCCCTCTGGAGCCTTTAGGGGCCTTCCGGAGGCTTTCCTGAAGGCTCCAGAGGACGGAAATGACCCTACAAGCAAACCGGAAGTCACTTCCCTGAAGGCTCCTGAGGACTAAAAACAGCCCGGTTTGTCTGTTGGGTCATTTTTTGTCCTTCTGAAGGCTCCGGAGGGCTTAAACCGGCCCTACAGCAAACCGGAAGTCCATTCCTGAACTTTCGGTTTGCCTTTAGGGCCAGTTTTTTGCACTCCAGAGACTTCAGGAAAGCTCCTGAAGCCTCGTTTGGGGGGGGGGCTGTTTTAGCCCTCCCCAGGCTCCTATAAAGCCTCTGGGGAGGGCGAAAAATGGCTTTAAAAAAGGCTGAACCTGACAAATGGCTCCGCGTGCCACCTGTGACACGTGTGCCATAGGTTCATCATCCTGGCTCTAGTAGTTTAAAATGATGTGAATTAATAACATTAGAACGTTTGTAGAAAAGTTGTACTATATTTCATTTCAATTGAATTATTGACTCTTTTTTTTTAATTTGGTATTTTATTTTAAGTAGCAGTTATGAATTCTATAGTGCCAGTTTGGTATCATGGTTAAAGTATAAGGCTAAAAACTAAGAGATAATGAGTTCTAATCCTGCCTTAGACCAAAGACAGTTGGGTGTCCTTGGGCCAGTCATTCTCTCCAGCCCTAGGAAAGATCTAGTGGAAAACCACTGTGAAATCTTGCCAAGAAAATTGTAAGGGCTTGTCCAGGCAGTCGCCAGGAGTAAACCAAAAATAAAAATCCTTACCAGACTAACTATTAGGTGGCAGCAAACCATTACAACATTCTATATTTCTTAATAGCTGGTTAGTTTCCTGCAGCCCATATCTGGTATCCATACTCAATAACAATTATGCTTATAATTTAAAACCACTTTTGGAAACTGAGGAATGTTTGGAATTCCTGATGTGAACATATATCTTTATGAAACTGAATACTTAGGTATATGCACTTTTTTGGTTCAGATTTCAAGGTACCAAGCAAACTTAAATGAGTGTGTATATGTGTTTGCATTTTAAATGCCTCATATAGAAAGATGGATGGATGGTATGGTTATTTTGTGAGTTTTGGATAAAGTTCTTTCTCCAGAATTTCTTTAAAGTAACTCATATTTAACCATTGAGGCTTTTCAAAATACTTAGTAACATAGTACCAATATAGATAAACCTTGACTTATGCCAGGTCATTTAATGACTGTTTAAAATTACAACAAACTTGGAAAGAGTGCTTTAGAAGACACTTTCATCCGTCATAAAATGTCTCATCACCCTCTCCTTTGGTCAAGTGATCCCATTTCAGACACTTTGTAACTGGTTCACATTTATGACCACTTGTCAAGCACCCCCAAATGTGAACACTATTTGCAATCTTCTCTGCTGGCTTCCCCAGAAAGTCAACGTGGATACCAGCAGAGATGGTTGCAAGCAGAGGGGACAGAGAGGAGTTTAGGTCTTCCATGGGCAGCATGAATAGAGCAAGATACTGAAGATTTCAGCGCCATAGCCCACCAAAGCATTTTCCCCCACCCCAGTGCAGTGAGGGGAACTGAAGTCTTTCAGCTGGCTGCAGGAACATTTGAGAGCCAAAGGGTTGCCTTCTGATGGATTTCATCTGCCAAAAGGCGGACCTTTCACTCGCTCTCCTTAACAACCTAGGTTAATAACTGCAAGTGGAAGTGCAGGAATTTTTATGGATTTATCATACAGTTTGTCATTTAACATAAATTCAAATTTGTTTCACAATTTTAATTTTAATAATGAATAAAAATTTTACTATAATAAATCTTTTCTCTTCCCTTTATACTTTCAGGTCAAGATGATGATATGCATGTATCTTTTTCTATGCCAATTGAAGTTAAAAATAAATCCACATACTATACTTTTCAAATATTAAACATTTCTATTTTTGTTGTAAAATAGATACAGATATTAAACTCCTTGAAGACCAGCTTGATGAATTAATTGTGGAAGTGGCTTCAAAGCGTTCTCAATATCCTAGAAAAATGCAAATAAACTTTGTTAAAAGCATTAAAATGCAACAAAAATTGTTGGTGAGTAATTTGAATACTTAAGTCATTGGGTGAAAATATTTACTTTGAGAGAATCAGATAATGATTTGCTTACTGCAGTAGCAGATAGAATAGAATAGAATAGCAGAGTTGGAAGGGACCTTGGAGGTCTTCTAGTCCAACCCCCTGCCTAGGCAGGAAACCCTATACCGTTTCAGGCAAATGGCTATCCAACATCTTCTTAAAACTTTCCAGTGTTGGAGCATCACAACTTCTGGAGGCAAGTTGTTCCACTGATTAATTGTTCTATTCTATTCTATTCTATTCTTTTCT